TTACAGAGCACTTTCTTTGAATCCATAACTTTACTGTCTCACATTTATTGACTTATATTTGACCTTCTCAGTCATACAGAATGTGTGTGTAATACAGAAAAGCACAGCACCGATTGTTCTTTAACGGTATTTGAGCGTTTGACATCCTCACACATATACTTACTGCACTCAGAGGATTTCCTCTGTTGTTTATAGAGAGGACTTTGTCTGAGATTGACCTTCATTTCACGTAACACACTCACTCCTAGCTGAGAGGAGAATAGTGCTCCATTGTTCTGCAGATATTCCCACTTTATTAGACTCACTGCCAGATAGGTATGAACTCATGGGATACTCCCAAACTATTTCAACTATAGACACACACACACACACAGACACACACACACACACACACATGTTACTGGCAGACACATGGCTGGTCTCCAGTAGAATATATTGAACATGAGATTTCTAAACCTAGTGAGCTTCATCTCTGTCTGCTGTCTACACGAGAAGCTGCCTTCAAAACAGACGGCTAATAAAATACATGTATAATTGACATTTCTCTTGACAACATATTAACCCCATAAAGCCTGGTGTATGAAATAATAGTCCGATAAATCAATGAGATCTTATAACAGTATGCAGAATAACAAAATGCATATAAATATCAGCTGTCAAATTTGTATCTCCCAATAATAAGCAAGATGATATTTAAATGCTTATTTTTATGATCGAAGTTCTGTAGTTTTAATTATGGGGGAAAAACACTAAATGTAATGCAATAAAATGATGATTGAGAGAACGTTCCTCAAAAGTCTGATGGATTATATTTGATACTCACTTTTTAACATGATTTTTCTAGGTCTTCAGCTTGTAATAGTACTAACAGTTTAAAAGTTATTCTTATGTTTACTTTAAAAATCATTAAAGATTTCACATTTGTTTTTTTTGTTTTTTGTTTTTTTAACAATTATAATAAAAGGCCTTTTACCTGCTAAAAAGGTATAAACAATCAATCAGACAACAGAAGGCATGTAGTAGATTGTGTACAACAGGTCTTTCAGCAAAGTTTTGATCATGTTGATCATTTAGAGACCTTAATGGTTAATTAAGGTTAATGGGTTAATGATAGTTTTTCACTGAGCATGCATTGCATTATGGGATTGGGGTTTTTGTGAAGCATAAATGTTTTGCTTCCTTAGAATTTGGTCAACATGAGGTAGATAGAAAGCAGCATAATTCTTCTGTAACAGCTTTTATGTCTAGTGTGCCTGTGATGCCTAAAATGTTGCATCTCACTGTTGCTGGAGTGTGTATGAGTTTGTTTTTAACTTTCATCAGGTTTGTGCAAATATGATCTCATGTTGTGTGTTTAAATATTGAGTGGTCCTTCTGTTCCACTTTTTTTTTTTTTACTGTTGAGAAATGGGGTTTCCTGCTCCTGCCTTTCATCTCTTTTCCCCTCTTCCTAAAAAAATCAGATTGGACAGAGAGCAAAGGATTGAGGGAATACATGAGATCTTTTTGAGCACAGGGTGACTTTGCATAAAACAGTGACTCAAAAATAGTAATGCTGTTGCATTTCCTTTCCTGTCAGAAAGGAGAAAAGCAGTCAAGGATGTGGTTGCAGTTAACACTCATGCTCCAGATCATTGAAGCTGTGGTGCTCAGGCAAATGATGCAGGTTTGAATCCGGTTTGTGATTCGTTATGATCCCATTTCACTCCCTTGAATAGTTTCCACTCTTTATTATTGTAATTGATATTCAAAACAAGTGCACTGCATACATATTATTAATACATTACATATGTGCACAAAATAAATTCATTTAGTACAATAATATTGTATTAAAGTATTTATTATTATTTTGAATGTTTTTATTTTTATATTTTACATTCACAGTTTTTTTTTAACACAATTTGGTTGTTTTTGACAGTTTTATTAATTATTTTTTTATTATATCTTCATTAGTATTTTATTAAATATTTAATGTTAATTTTTTTTTCACTTTTAGTTTAGTTATTTTTTTTAGTTTAGTTAGTGATTTAAATGTTTTTTTTATTATTTTATTTTATTTCAGTTAATGTTCATTTATTTCAATAAACATGAATTATAATAGCACTGAAAATTAAATTAAATAAAATTACATTTAATTTAAAAAAGGAAAAATAAATGATTTGATTTTTTTAGATGAACTATTTTCTCATTTATATTAATTATTGTAATTGATATTCAAAACAAGTGCACTGCATACATATTATTAATACATTACATATGTGCACAAAATAAATTCATTTAGTAGAATAATATTGTATTAAAGTATTTATTATTATTTTGAATTCGTTTTTATTTTTATATTTTACATTCACAGTTTTTTTTTACACCGTTTGGTTGTTTTTGACAGTTTTATTAATTATTTTTTATATTTTTTTATTTTATCTTCATTAGTATTTTATTAAATATTTAATGTTAATTTTTTTTTCACTTTTAGTTTAGTTATTTTTTTTAGTTTAGTTAGTGATTTAAATGTTTTTTTTATTATTTTATTTTATTTCAGTTAATGTTCATTTATTTCAATAAACATGAATTATAATAGCACTGAAAATTAAATTAAATAAAATTACATTTAATTTAAAAAAGGAAAAATAAATGATTTGATTTTTTTAGATGAACTATTTTCTCATTTATTTATTTACTTATTTATTTTAGTCAATTGGTTCATAAATTGAATTCACACATTGACTCCTAGGGGCTTTTTCTTTAATGTAAGGACAGTAGAGAGAAGGAACAGGACATCATGGACAGAGAAAGAAGGAGTGAGACTAGGACATGTTGCAAGTCAGAAATGAACCCACATCTCCCACTTGAGCACCACTGCTTAGCCTGTCAGGAGTGCTAACTGCTAGATCTCAGATCCAACTCACTTTGGCTTTCAGAATCACCTATTTAAGTCCTTTTAATAAAGAGAGTTTGTGTGAGCGATCATAATTGAAGTTGTATATGCCAAAGGTAATGCTAATGATGTTAATGCTATTGTGTTTATTCTTACAGTGCATCAAGTCTTACATCTCTGACTGGCATGTTGTCAATTACAAATATGAGGATTATTCCAGTGACTTCCGTCAGCTCCCCAAGTAAGAACCTCAGTTAGACTGAAACATGTTGCAGCCTGTGTGACTGATTATAGCTGTAGGGACAGAGGACTGCAGGGTGTAATTGTTATAATGTCCTCCTAGGCTGCTCTGTGTGTGTGTGTGTGTGTGTGTGTGTGTGTGTGTGTGTGTTATTGTCAGCTCTTGGAAAGATGTTTGTGTTGGCGAGAGCAGGAAATGTGTTTTGCTGGGTAACAATAGAGCAGAGGAACAGTGAGTGAGGCCATCACCTCCACATTGCCACATACACACACATACAGAGCCTTTAACTGTTTAAATGGCCATCTGTTTTTTCATCTTTTAATGAGACAAAGTGGAGCAGGATGAGACTGCGGCCAAGATCTGATTATCTGGAGAAAGAAACATACAAACTTTCATTAAAAAGTCATTACCAATCATTATATAATGCTGTACAGAAAGGTAGGACGTTTATGTAGACACGAATATAGATGAAAATAAATTCCAAGCAAGCAAATTAACATGCAAAATATATCACAAATATAGATTAAATACATTTTTCTTGTAGGTGCTTTTAATTTTGTCTATCATTTTTCTATGTACATAAAGAAGTCTCTTATGCTTAGCAAGGCTGCATTTATTTGATCAAATATACAGTAATATTGTGAAATATGTTACTATTTAAAATAACGGTTTGTTTTTGAATATATATTTAAAATATAATTTATTCCTGTGATGTAAAGCTGAATTTTCAGCATCATTACTCCAGTCTTCAGTGTCCTTTAAGTGATGTTTGCCCTCTCTAATAAATCCTACGGGATTGTGTGTGACAGTCAGATGCTGTAAAGCTCACCTTATAGAATACAGAGTACCTCTGCTATACACTAAAAGTGTGTATTTTAATAATAGGGTCATAGTTTTAAGTATGACGCAAGTCATTACACTAGTACTAGGACATACTGTACTAACACTTCATAAAACTCCATCTTGATAGCACAGACCTGTTAGTCTCGTACTGAAATACTTGCCATTTTTGTACAAATCAAAAAGTACTCATTCATCCAAAACTCCTCTTTTATTGCGCAAGGAATAGTCAGCAGCATTACTTCAAAACGCATTCACAGATGCACACTGTAAATAGTATGTGATTTGGGCCTTTTATATATATATATATATTTTCAAAATGCTATGATATGAGATGCACTAATGCTAATGTCAGATACTATTTAATTAAACTGCTCTATGAGTGGATCAGACTTCCAGGTTTTCCCAGAATGGACATAGTCAAATCCAATGACCTGACATTAGGCCTTCTGCCTCCCCCTTCCCAGAATTCTTCTTTCCATGAATGCTGCCTACGCGTTTGATTCTACTAATCAGCTTCCCACTCAAGATTGAGTCACGTTTCTTATTTTAGCCCAAATGTGTGCAGTACGACAGACTGATATGTAACTCAGGTCGTAGGTTTGAGGAATGCAGTATAATTGTTATTATGCTGAGTTTTGGCCTGTACTATGGACCATGAATAGCTCTAAGTTCCTGTTAGACTCATTTGTCTAATTTGGTTGCTGATTGATTTCTTGTATTTATAGAAAGATATTGTGATAATGAGTGTGTTTTGGCATCGCAGTAACCACAGCCAATTGCTGATGGCTGTCCAACGGCACAGCCAATCATAACAGCTCGCCACATTGAGATTTTACTTCACAGCCTATCAGAATCATTCAGGCTGTTTTCATGAATGTTAACATTTATTAGTGTTGCTGAGCTAAGCATTGCTATTACTAGTCCTCATATTGAAACTAATGTAAATAAATCCTTAACCATAAGTGTTAAATTATTTACAAGTTTGCATGGATGATAAAAATCATAGTAAATGAAAAATACCACAGACTTATATTAAAGAAAAGACCCAACCAATATATAGAGACAGAGTAGAGTTGCACCGGTTCTTACTTGTATGTTCTTACTTAAATTGTTCATGGCATTTCAACATAAATTCTGCTCATGTATTTGAAGGCTGCTGTTGGATCATTAAAGATAAATTGCACAGGCAAGCACTGCTCACATTTCTGGACTGTCCAAGACTGTACAGTCATTCTGACTGGGTTTTGATATTTGCTGACTGGAAAGCTCAGATATGTGTGTTTGTTGAGCGAACGCAGCTCTGTGAGGTCTATGAAGCATCCAGACTCCCTCTGCCCACCCACACAATCACAGCACAAGCATTTCATCTGTTAAACGCTGTTGTGTGTGTGGTTTGTTTGTATCTGCAGAGTGTCAAAAGTAAAGCGATAAGGAGTGTTTAACTGGTGATTCAGAGATAAACCGACCCATTGTACTAAAGTTTAACCTTCTGTTGTTCTTAAAGGTTCTTTCAGGCCACTGCTCTCCGCATCTACACCTTGTAGTGTGAGGTCTGACGCTTCTCACAAAAAAACAGTTTATACCAGCATGCTTGTCCAGGCTGGTTGGTGCTGGTCTAGCTGGTGGACCGGTATAGCAAGATTGTCACCAGCAAAACTGTTAGCTTGTATAGTTTTTATGATGAAATTGCCTTATCAAGTCTTGCTTTTTAAGCTTGTTAAAAACAGGACTCGCAAAATCACCCGGCTTATTGGGGCTATTGTGTTTTCCAGTCGGGCTACCAGAATGCATCACTGCCCTGCCCAACGGGCTATTTTGAATAGTGAAATAAAATCCCTTCATTGATTTGCATTGTTCACTCGCTTGTAGGGATGAAATGGATCGTAGTTGATCATTTGCACGTGTTTTGCATGTGCAAGTCTTGCCAAGCATTTTAAACCATTCATAGCAAGAAGAGGCTAAAGAGAACTCAATTCGATACTCGTGCGCTATTTGCACACACACACACACACACACACACACAGAATTGATTCCTCTTTCACGTATCCTTGTGCTTGCTTGCACGTGTTTTGCATGTGCAAGTCTTGCCAAGCATTTTAAACCATTCATAGCAAGAAGAGGCTAAAGAGAACTCAATTCGATACTCGTGCGCTGTTATTTGCACACACACACACACACACATAATTGATTCCTCTTTCACGTATCCTTGTGCTTGAATGGACACATACACACAAAATTATCTCAAAATACCCGTCTCGGCATGTATTCTCTTAAACAGACGGTTATGTCTTAAGTGAAGTGAACATAAACAGAAAGAAATTGGATGTGTATCATTATATTGCATCGACCATCCTGCACCTCGGGACTCCACTCCTCTGGCTGCACCTCATCCCTTCTTCCCTCCGGCTCCGTCAGGCTCCTGCAACCCTTTCGGCTCCTCCTCAGTCCTCTGTCGCTCTGGCTCCACCGCGGCCTTTCGGATCCACGCCTCCGCGTCAGTCGCCGGCGCAATCTGCTCCGCCTTGGCCCCTCGTCACTCAGGTGTATTTATAGTGAGTCCTCTTCTGAGTTCATTGTCTGGTATTGAATGTTCGTCTTTCCCCACTACTTGTGTTTTCCTGGTTTCTTGGATGTTTATTAAAGTCTGTTCGTTTGAAGTTTACTCCACGTCTTCTCGTTCCTCGCTTCGTGCTCCTCACAGTAGCGGATCGTGACAATATAGTGAACACTATGCAGTATTATTTTACTCTTAATTATTACATTTCTGTGCCTGAAAACTAATATTAGACCTTAATTTATTTGTAGCTTTGCTATATTTAATATGCTTGTAATTTTTTTGGCATTCATACAACAAGGTTTAATGAAGAGTCAGTTTGATTGGCCTGGAATATCATGGATGATATTGCTTTGTTTTTTCAACAAGTTATGGAAATAAAATTATTTATTATTGTGATCTCCAAATCCTAGAGGGACTAGGTGGAGTAAAATGGAGTCATGAAGACTTCGGCTACATGTTTCTTGTTCTTAAAGGTTCTTTCAGGCCACTGCTCTCCGCATCTACACCTTGTAGTGTGAGGTCTGACACTTCTCACAAAAAAACAGTTTATACCAGCATGCTTGTCCAGGCTGGTTGGTGCTGGTCTAGCTGGTGGACCGGTATAGCAAGATTGTCACCAGCAAAACTGTTAGCTTGTATAGTTTTTATGATGAAATTGCCTTATCAAGTCTTGCTTTTTAAGCTTGTTAAAAACAGGGCTCGCAAAATCACCCGGCTTATTGGGGCTATTGTGTTTTCCAGTCGGGCTACCAGAATGCATCACTGCCCTGCCCAACGGGCTATTTTGAATAGTGAAATAAAATCCCTTCATTGATTTGCATTGTTCACTCGCTTGTAGGGATGAAATGGATCGTAGTTGATCATTTGCACGTGTTTTGCATGTGCAAGTCTTGCCAAGCATTTTAAACCATTCATAGCAAGAAGAGGCTAAAGAGAACTCAATTCGATACTCGTGCGCTATTTGCACACACACACACACACACACACACACAGAATTGATTCCTCTTTCACGTATCCTTGTGCTTGCATGGACACATACACACAAAATTATCTCAAAATACCCGTCTCGGCATGTATTCTCTTAAACAGACGGTTATGTCTTAAGTGAAGTGAACATAAACAGAAAGAAATTGGATGTGTATCATTATATTGCATCCGTGCATCTGGTCTTAAAGGGACAGCAGCCTATAAATATCTGCTGCTGTCTGTGTCATTAATGTTAATCAAACAACAAAACACAACTTAAACGAAGATTAATCTATATTTAATTTATATATGTCACGCCCCTGGACTCATTCTGTGTGTTTTTCCCTCTCCATGTGCCTGCCCTGACCTAGTTTTCCCATGTGTTTGATTGTTCATTAGTTCCAGGTGTGTCTCGTCATCCCCTCGTCAAGTCAGGTGTATTTATAGTGAGTCCTGTTCTGAGTTCATTGTCTGGTATTGAATGTTCGTCTTTCCCCGCTACGTGTGTTTTCCTGGTTTCTTGGATGTTTATTAAAGTCTGTTCATTTGAAGTTTACTCCACGTCTTCTCGTTCCTCGCTCCGTGCTCCTCACAGTAGCGGATCGTGACAATATAGTGAACACTATGCAGTATT